AGAGAGAAAGGTCTTCCTTTGCCATTGGTTCACCCTCCAATGGCCGCCGCCGGCGCGCTGCGGCCGGCGCACCGCGCTGATCCGATGGCAGGAGCCAGGTACTTCTCCTGGTCTCCCATGGGGTGCAGGGCCCAAGCACCTGGGCCATCCTCCACTGCACTCCCTGGCCACAGCAGAGAGCTGGCCTGGAAGAGGGGCAACCGGGACAGAATCCGGTGCCCCGACCGGGACTAGAACCCAGTGTGCCGGCGCCGCAAGGCGGAGGATTAGCCTAGTGAGCCGCGGCGCCGGCCTCCCAATATATTTTATTATTACTTGAAAGGCAGGGAGAGAGAGAGAGAAAGAGAGAGAGAGAGAGAGAGAGAGAGAGAGAGATATGGAGATCTCATCTGGTGGTTTCCTCCCCAAAGACCTGCCATGGTTGGGATTGGGCCAGGCTGAAGCCAGGAGCTGGGACATCAGTCTGGTTCGCTCATGTGCATGGCAGGGATCTAATTACTTGAGCCAACACCTGCTGCCTCCTAGGGTGCACATTAGCTGGAAGCTGGGATGGAAATGGACCTTGAACCAGGCTCTCCTACATGGGTTTCAGGCATCCCAAGTAGTGTTTTTAATCGCTGCACCGAATGCCCACCACCCCACCAGTTTATACTTTAAATCATCTCTAGACTACACATAATAGCCAATATAAATGCTATGTAAACAGTCATTGTACTGTATTGTTTATGGAATAATGACAAGCAAAAAAGTCTGTACATGTTCAGTTCAGATGCATGCAATTTTTTTCCAAATACTTTCGATCTGTGGTTGGTTGAACCCACTGATGCAGAACCAGCAGATACGGAGGGAGGTCTGTCTGTCTAAACAACAACTTTCATGGTGTGTCAGCTCCGTGCCAAGTCAAGGCAAGGCAGAGGGTGTCGACATGAAATCAGTCACCATTGTGATTCTTCACACAGCAATTATGAGCTTTGGCCTCATTCATGAATTTCACAGAGTCTGAATTCATGAGTTTTCAGGATGACAAAATGGGAACTTTATGGGTGGTGTTTCACTTTGTTTTATTGTAATACGATCATGTAAGCTGTACAGACACACCTACCAGAGTGTTCAAAGGGTATTCCAAACAAGAGAGAAAAGCCTACCTACAGAAAGGACTTGAAATGACTTCTCAAATGACAGAGGCTGATTTTAATGTTCCAACGATCTTAGCTGGCAAATGGGAGTCCCACCTGTTTCTATAAATAAAGGGTGGTTTTCTCTTTTTCTCTTTTCTTTTTTACAGGCATAGTGGACAGTGAGAGAGAGAGACAGAGAGAAAGGTCTTCCTTTGCCATTGGTTCACCTTCCAATGGCCGCCGCGGCTGGCGCGCTGCGGCTGCGCACCACGCTGATCTGATGGCAGGAGCCAGGTGTTTCTCCTGGTCTCCCATGGGGTGCAGGGCCCAAGCACTCGGGCCATCCTCCACTGCACTCCCTGGCCACAGCAGAGAGCTGACCTGGAAGAGGGGCAACCGGGACAGAATCTGGTGCCCTGACCGGGACTAGAACCTGGTGTGCCGGCGCCGCAAGGCGGAGGATTAGCCTAGTGAGCCGCGGCGCTGGCTCAATAAAGTGTTCTTAGTGCACAGCCATGGGGCAGACATTTGGCTTGGTGGGTAAGACACCACACGAGATGCCCACATCCTACATCAGTGTGCCTTGGGTTCAAGTCCTGGCTCCACTGCCCATCCAGCTTCCTGCTAATGCACACCCTGGGAGGTGGCAGTGATGGCCCAAGTAGTTGGGTCTCTGTCACCCATGTGCAAGACCTGGATTGAGTGCCTGGCCCTGCTATTGCAGGTATATGGGGAGTGAACAAGTGAATGGGATCTCTCTCTTCTCACCCCGCCCCGTCTCTTTGTGTCTGCCTAAAGAAAGAACATAGACATGCCTATTTTTTGGTGCCTTGCCTATGTCTGGTTCCAGAGAGCTCAGAAGCTTAAAATATTTTGGCTGCCACTAGAAGAAACAGCTTATTGACTTCTAAATTCTTGTTCCATATTTTTTTAGGCAAGGGGTATATTATTAACAAGTCAACCATTATTACTTTCTGAGCAATAGCCAGAAATAATAATAATAATAATAATAATAATAAAAGCAACTAACAGGTATGAAACCCTTACTGTCCTTTTTTCTTTAATCTTTTCAAAAAATATTTATTCTCATTTTTTTTTTCTATTTGAAAGGCAGAGAGACAGAGACAGAAAGAGAGGGACAGAGAGATCTTTGATGTGTTGGTTCACTCCCCAAATGCACATAAAAGCTGGGACTGGGCCAGGCTGAAGCCAGGAGAGAATCCTATCTGGGTCTCCCACAGGGGTGGCTGCCTCCCAGGGTGTGTATGAGCAGGAAGCTAGAATTAGAAGTTGAATAGCTGACACTCAAACCCAGGCACTCCAACATGGGATGTGGGCATCCCAAGTGATACGGGATAGGCAGGTAACTAGCTAGATCTGCGAGGCTGGAAGCCATCGCCTCCCCCTCCCCCACTGTGCATCCTCCTACTTGTCAATCAAACCCTCCCAGGGATGCGTCTCCTTCATAGGAGGCCTGTGGGAGACACGCCCCCATCCCCGAGCTCCTCAAAGAGGCCGACAACTGGGAGAGCCGTCTCTCCTGCTGGACACCACTGCTGGAGGAGGGGCTGAGGGGTCTTCTCTCTCTGTCCCCGCCCCATGCCCTCCTTCTCCTGGGCCCACTGCCCACTCCTGCTTGGGAATGTGTGGGGCAACCCCAAGCTTGTGTGTGTGTGTGTGTGTGTGTGTGTCTTACACATGCCAGCATTAAGGATTCCTCTCCATGCATGGCAGGAGCCTGGAATAAAAATAAAGGCCACTTGCCCCACTGCGTAAGCACCACCGCTCCTTTCACAGAGGTGCGGAGAGTTTGTCACTCCCGAGCCAGCGCTGGCCCCTATGTCGGCTGACTGCTGCCCTTGCACAGTTCCCTTCGGGTGTCTGGAACCTCTCGCGCTCGCTCGCTTGTCTCTGGGCCCTTCCCTTGGAAAATTCCTCCTGCTCTAGTTAATTTCCACTCACCCTTGGGGCCAGTGCTTTCTACGCCTTCCCTGGCTCCAGGAGCTTCCTCTTCTCCAGTCTCTTTCGGGAGTGGGAAGGGCTTCCAAGCCAACAGGCAGCACCAAGAAAGCCCCTTCCTGCAGGGTCCCTGGGGACTCTCACCCCAACTTGGGACAGTCCCATAGGAGGCAGGCTGAAGCCTTGTTGGGCCTTCCCAGGTTCTTCAAAAAGTTCCTGGAAAATAGTATTATAAAAAACAAAAAACAACCCCCCCACCAACACACACAGTTCACAGATTTCAACTTTTTCACTGAAATAAACTTAATTCCATTTCCCAGTGGAAATGTCTTAAGAACCCCTCCCCCTTCCCGACCCCAAAGCCCCTTCCTAGGAGGAGGAGGTCTCCCCAGAAAATGTCCTGCCTTTTGTCACCCGACCACTCAGACCCGGAGCCTCCCAAAAGAGGCCGAGCCGCCTCTGGTGCTGTACCGGCCCCACCTCCACAGGTGCTCTGGGTGACTCAGCACTCAGCGATTCCCGAGCAGAGGGCGTGGCCCTTGCACCTGGAGCAGCTGGCAGGTTAAGGGCTCCCTCAGAACTCCCCCACCCATTACCGCTCTGCCGAGGTGGGGCTGTGACCCTCGGGGACCACGCGGGACTGCTTCTCGGAACAGATCCTCCTGTCTGATAGAAGATACTTGCGGAGTGACCGCAGGAAGTCCCGCAAGGCAACTCAGCTTAGAGAATACTTAGCAGTGGCCAGAAGCACTCACACCGTGCGTGGTGGAGCCCAGATTCTGAACCGCATTTGGGCAAGTCCAAAAGTCAGCCCTTTGTGTCCGTGGGGACTGAGAGCCTGGAACCCACTGGGATCAGAGCTGCCAAGTTCTGGACTGTGGCATATCCCTTGCACCTAGTCCTTGCATTTTGACGTTGTTGCAAGGGAGGTGGACATTTTGGTGGAGGGGAGGGGTGCATATTAACATCAGTGTTTTAGAGGAAATTAAATGGAACCATTCAGGTAAAATGACACTCATTCAACAGTCAACAGGTCATTTTCAGGGATGAACAGTAAATTCATTCAATGCCTGTTTACCTAGAGGGTTTACCAAGAGGATTAGAGAGGAAGGAATTCTTTTTTAAAAGTTTATTTTATTTATTTCAAGGCAGAGTTGCAGAGAGAGGAGACACACACACACACACACACACACACACACATAGATTTTCCATCTGCTGGTTCATTCCTCACATGGGTGTCACAGGTGGCAGCTTAACCTGTTACGGCACAACTCGGGCCCCAAGAAGAGAGAATTCCTGTGCTAACTCTTGCTGAAGTGGGTTTGGACACAGGAACCCGGGGCACAAAAGCTGCCTGTTCAGTTAAAAAGAAATCATTGCTTCTTTCCTAATAGATTAGCCTTTTTCTTAGGAGCCACAGCAGATGGTATGGTCAATCAGGACGAAAAAACCCACAGGTGGAATTTTACAAATTGGAGACAGTTTCTTTATAGAAATGGCATCTTCTCATCCGACAAGTCAAGGCAGCTCCTAGAACTATGACACACCTCTACCTCAGCCACACACATCCCCTAAGACAATGGCAACCACATCCAAACCATGATTCAAAGGAATTGGATTGAATTCCTGACACATTCAAATTCTTTATGGATGTATTAAGCAGAAAAACAGCAACTGGTTTTTTTTTTTTTTAATTATTTATTTACTTGAAAGGCAGAGTTAGAGAGAGACAGACAGGGAGAGACAGAGAGAGATCTTCTATCCACTGGTTCACTCCCCAGTTGGCCACAACAGCCAGAATTGGGCAGGTCCAAAGCCAGGAGCCAGGAGCTTCTTCTGGGTCTTCCATGTGGGTGCAGGGGCCTAAGCACTTGGGCCATCTTCCACTGCTTTCCAGGCCATAACACACAGCTGGATGGGAAGTAGAGCAGCCAGGACTCAAACCAGTGCCCATACGGAATGCCGGCACAACAGGCTGCAATTTTTTAAAATTTTTATTTATTTGAAAGATGGAGTTACAGAGAGGTAGAGCCAGAGAGAGATCTTCCATTCTGCTGGTTCACTCCCCAAATGACCACATTGGATAGAACTGAGATGATCCGAAGCCAGGAGCCAGGAGTTTATTCCAGGTCTCCCACAGGGGTACAGGGCCCAGGGACGTGGGCCATCTTTCACTGCTTTCCCTGGCCATAGCAGAGAGCTGGTCAGAAGAGGAGCAGCTGAGACTCAAACCGGCATCCATATGGGATACAGCTCTGCAGGCTGGGGCTTTAACTCGCCTTGCCACAGCACCAGCACCACAACTTTACCTTATATGCCACAGCCCCAGCCTACAGCAGCTGTCTTGATCTGCAGTCTTGTTGTACCATATCCAATCCTAAGAACAGAAATGGCTATTATTTTTTGAAGTACTCACCCATCTATTAGCCACTGCGTGAACTGTTGCCCACGCATCATTCCAGCTCAAGCTCACAAGATGGTGAGACACAGGTATGGTTGTTTCTGGAGGAAAGCAAGTGCAACTGAAGGGACACAAAGTGACTTCCTCAAGGTCCGACAGTTGGGAAGAGGCCTGGCCAGATGCCACGTCCAAGGTCTAGCCATTTTCTCTGCCCAGCAAGTGGACAGAATATTTGATACTCTGGCGGGATTAGATAAATCTGTTTTGTATGGTTTTTATAATGAAATCACGTGTCCACAGAACAAGGACTTTTTCACTCTTTTTTAAAAAGTTTACTTATTTTTATTTATGTGAAAGGCAGAGAGAAAGAGAGAGAGAGGGAGAGAGAGAGAGGCATCTTTCATCCACTGGTTCACTCTCCAGTTGTCTGCAACAGCCAGGACTGAGACAGGCTGAGCCGGGAGCCAAGACTCCATCAGGGTCTTCCACGTGGGTGACAGGGACCCAAGTACTTGAGCCATCATCTGCTGCCTCCCAGACTGTGCATTGGCAGGTAGCTGGATGTGAAGGTGAGGCAGGACTCAGTTCCAGACACTGTCATATGGGAAATGGACGTCCCAAGCAGTGGCATAACCTGCTGTACCACGACACCCATGCCAAAGACTTTCCCTTGTTGGAAAAGAGTGCAGAAGGGCAAGCATTTGGCTCATTTGTTAAGTTGCCACTTGGGATACCGGCATCCCATATCAGAGTGCCTGGGTTTGGGTCCTGGCTCTGCTTTTCTTCCAGCTTCCTGCTAATGTGCACCCAGACCATTAGCAGGGAGCTGGATCAGACGTGGAACAGCCAAGACATGAACCAGTGCCCATATGGGATGTTGGCATCACAGGTAGTGGCTTTACCCATGCCAGCCCCCTCTTTCCTTTCTGATCTTCAGTCATTGTGAGGAAAATAGAACAAAAAACAGAGGCAGAGAAGGGTTAAGTACCTTGCTACAAGTCACACAGGTGAGCCGACCTTGAACTCAAGCAGGCAAGGTGGCACCTGGCTCCAGGCCTGGAACCTCCTTGCTGCACTGACCTTGGGGAACAGCCTTGTGAACACATCCTGGACCCTCTTGGACCTCTGCTGTCTACCTGGAGCCTCCATGCAGAGTCCATGTTATCTGCATGAGGTCTGTTACTACACAGAACTGAGTGCAAATCCTGGCTAGTTGTGTGGCCTTGGACAGATGGCTGTACCTCTTTGAGCTTCAATTTCTGCATCTATAAAAGAGAAGGCCATACTAGTACCTGTCTCCTGGAACCCTGATGTGGCCACAAATCAGCAGGTGCAGGAGAAACACATAGCTCAGAGTGGACAACATAGCGCACATTCAATGAACGGCTATTTCCTCATCATTCCCCACTTGGCAGGCTGTAGCTCAGCCCACTCCACACCTCCTCTGCCTCTTTCCCAGTCTCCAGGAGGCCAAACTGCCTGGAATAAGTGAGGAACACATTTCTCCTCCAGGCCTCTCTAATTGATTTCCTTGGCAAATCCTCACCCCCATCCTCCTTTGCTAGGGTTTGAATGAGTCCCCCCAAATCCATGCATTGGCAGCTTCATCCTCAGTGGGACATGGTGGTCGGGCGGTCCTCAGGAGTGGATTCCTAAGTGGTTCCTGATGAAAGCATGGATTACGTGCAGCTTCCTTTCCTTTCTCTCTCTGTCGTGTCTCCGCCTCTCCATCTCTCTCTCCTCTGCCCTTCCACTTGCTCTTGTAGGATGACACAGCAGAAACGGTCACTGGATGAGTTGACCTTGAACTTTGAAGCCTCCAGAGCTGTAAGAAATTAATCTCTGTTCTTTATAAATTACCCAGTTATAGCGGCAGAAAAAACATCATCCACTCCTGTCCACTCAGCTGTCACTATGACTCCTACTCAATTAGGAAGGCCTTGTGATCCCTCCACTTCGACCCTAAATCTTTGTATCTTCTCTTCCCCTCCCTTCCTCTTCCTCTGTACAGAAATTTACTTAATGTCTACCCTGTGTTAGGTGCTAAGGGTACTGTGATGAACAGAATAGACACGATCTCTTCTTATACAGAGAGCAATGACTCATGGGGAAGGCAGCCATTCATCAAATAATTAATTATATATTGAGACGAGTACTATACTAACAAATGAAACACACCGGGCCCAGATCTGGACTGGGCTGGGAGCCAGGGGAGGCGTCTGCAGCATGAGGCTCTCGGGTCGTGGAGGACCCACTTTGTGACAGCTCAACCACATGGCTGACAAGTTGGTGCTTGGCTGTCGGTTGGGAATGAGGCCAGGGCGTGGGCAGTGGTCCCACTCCCTCTCTACGGGGCCCTTCATGGGCTTCTTGCACTCCCTTATGGCATGGTGGCGGGGTTCCAAGAGGGAGCACCCCAAGAGAACCAAGTGGAAGTGCTTCGTCTTTTACGACCTAGCTTCAGGTCACCAAGCATCACTCCCACAGCAACCTCACTTGGATTCCAGTGAAGAGAACAAGCCCCCTGTGTTAATGGGAGAGGTGTTAAAAGTCACCTTGTGATGAACAGGTGTGGCCCTATTTGGAAAATACAATGGCACAGTTTCCCTGAGGAAGCCACGTTTGAGCTGACACAGTAATGGACAAGGGACACGGAACCACGTGTGGAACGGGCTCGGGATGAATAATCAGCCGTAGGCAGTGAAGCAGACCCCAGGGACAGGCAGGAAGAAGGACCATGAATCTGAAGGGCCTGGTCATGCTGGACCCTGTCTGTCAGGTGCTGTCCACGGCTACTGTCTCCATTCAGCCATCATCACCCCTTCTTCCAGAAACAGCACCCTAACTTCCCACTATGGAACCACTCGGCCTCCCCACACTCCCCTCGCCACGCCTCTCAGTGGGGCTGCAAGAGTGGGTATAAGACACAGATCTAGCCATTCAGGATATTCCATACCCCTTCACCAGCCTTGGTGATTGGTTCAGGAGTGCACATGTGACCCAGGCAGAACCAATGAGTTTCAAACATGAGACCTCCGCTGCAGCTATTGGACAAGGGATTGTCTCTCTCTTTGAGGGTTGCTAGGCAGGATAGAGAGGCAAAATCTCTGTGTCACTGTTGCCTCTAAGTGAGAAGAATAACACCTGCTGAGCATGACACCAACAAGGAAAGCAGAACTGAGGGACAGATACTGTGGAGCTCCCAGACCGTGATTAAAGACAAATCTACGCCGGCGCGGCGGTTCACTAGGCTAATTCTCCGCCTTGCGGCACCGGCACACCGGGTTCTAGTCCCGGTCAGGGCGCCGGATTCTGTCCCGATTGCCCCTCTTCCAGGCCAGCTCTCTGCTGTGGCCAGGGAGTGCAGTGGAGGATGGCCCAAGTGCTTGGGCCCTGCACCCCATGGGAGACCAGGAGAAGCACCTGGCTCCTGCCATCGGATCAGCGCGGTGCGCCGGCCGCAGTGTGCCAGCCACGGGGCCATTGGAGGGTGAACCAACAGCAAGGGAAGACCTTCCTCTCTCTCTCTCTCTCTCTCTCTCACTGTCCACTCTGCCTGTCAAAAAAAAAAAAAAAAAGCCACATCTACTGCTGGACATTTTGGTCACAAGGGACAGTCCCTGTGCCCCAGAGCACACCGCAGTAAGCCAGGAGGCCAGCCCTAAACCTGCTTTTCCTGCTTTTTCCAGGCATTAAAAGAAAAACTCACTCATACGTGGAAGCTAAAAAAGTTGACTACGGGGAAGTAGGGAGGAGCCTGGAGTGGGTATAGAGGGAAGTTGGGTAATGGGAACCAAAAATAATTACACAGATGGAATCAGTTCTATGTCTTATAGCATAATAGGGTGACCATAGTTCACAACGACTTCCTTATTTTATAAATAACTAAAAGAGAGGTGTTCAGAGATCTCTCCAAAACAAAGAAATGAAAAATGTTTAAGGAGCAGGAATGCTAATCATGATCTGATCATTGCACATTTTACCATCACACTGAAACCTCACCCTCTGCCCTATAAATATGGATAATTACTGCATCAATTAAAAATCATAGTAAATGAGTGAGCAGGCATCCTTGATCTTTCGCTGTTGAGTGTGATGTGGGTTTCTTGTATATGCCCTTCATCCTTTCAAAGTAGTTCCCTTCTGGTCCTAGTTGCTGAGAATTTTTATCATGAAAAACCACTGGAGTTTGTCCAATGCTCTTTTCAACAGCATCCCTTCATTCTATCAGCATGCCAGAGGACACTGAGAGGTGGCTAATTTTAACTGTCAACTTGATGGACTGACGGTTGCACGGATGGGAGGTGACGCCTTGTTTCTGGGTGTGTCTGCGAAAGTGTTTTCAGAGGAGACAGAGGCTGGAGAAAGAAGATACACCTCACCGTGGGTGGGCACCATCCAATTGGCTGAGGGCTGGGTGGGCCAGTGAGAGGGCACAGGTAGTCAGCCTTCTCTTCTGGTGGGGGGCGGTGCCTGTCTCTTCCTTGCACATCAGAATGTCAGGTTCTTGGGCCTTTGGATCACACTCGTGCCAGCAGGGACTTTCAGGCCTTTTGCTTCATGCACTCTGGGCTTCCCTGATTCTCCCAGACAGCCTGTCATGGGTCTTCTCAGGCTTTGCGATTGTGTTTGCCAATTTCCCTAGTTAATCCCCTCTCCTATATCCTCTTGGTTTTTCTTTCTGGAGAACCCTGATGAATACACAAGGATTCTTTCCTTATATTGAATTCCTTGTGCATTCTTGAGACAACGGCCATGTTATTGTGATGTAAAACCTGTTTATATGCTGCTAGATTAGACTTGTGAGTATTTTGCTGAGTATTTTTGCATCTATACTCACAAGGGACACTGGTCTATAGTTTTCTTGGTCTATAGTTTTTCTACAGGATTGGTGCTAATTATTTGAATCATTGGTGGAAGTCACCAGTGCAGCCATCCATTCCTGAGATTTTCTTTTTTCTTTCTTTCTTTTTTCAATCGCAAAGGTAGAGTTACAGAGAGGGACACACACACACACACATACACATTTTCCATCCACTGGTTCACCACCCAGTGGCCACAATGGTCAGGGCTGAGCCAGACGGAAGCCAGGAGCCAGGAGCTTCTTCTGGGTCTCCCATGTGGGTGGCAGGGGACCAAATACTTGGGTCATCTGTTGCTGCTTTCTCAGACACATCATCAGGGACCCAGATTGGAAGTGGAGTAGCCAGGACACAAACCAGTACCCATATGGGATGTCAGCATCGTAGGCAGCAGCTTAACCTACTATGCCACAATGTCAGCTTCTCCTGAGATTTCCTATATTGGAAATTCCCTTATCATTGGATCTCTCTACTTGCTATACATATACTAAGATTTTCTGTTTTTTTCTTGAGTTTGTTTTAATAATTTGTGTATTTCTAGGGATTTATTAATTTCATCCAGGTCTTCTAATTTGTTGACATATGATTATTTATAGTATTCTCTTATAATCTCTTTGCTTTTTAAGACAACATTTATTTATTTGAAAGAGAGACAGAGAGAGAGAGAGAGAGAGAGAGAGAGGAACTAGATCCTATCTATTGGTTCACACCCTAAATGCCAGAACAGCGAGGGCTGGGCTGGGGCTGAAGACAGAAGACAGAAACTCCATCCTCCACATAGATGGCAAAAAAACAAAACAAACAAAAACAAACCCCAAAGCCTGAATTTCTTACATGCTGAGCGCTATGCTGAGTCCTTTTTTTTTTCTTTTTCTTTTTAAAGATTTATTTATTTATTTTTGACAGGCAGAGTGGACAGTGAGAGAGAGACAGAGAGAAAGGTCTTCCTTTACTGTTGGTTCACCCTCCAGTGGCCGGCGCACTGCGCTGATCCGATGGCAGGAGCCAGGTGCTTCTCCTGGTCTCCCATGGGGTGCAGGGCCCAAGCACTTGGGGCATCCTCCACTGCACTCCCGGGCCACAGCAGAGAGCTGGCCTGGAAGAGGGGCAACCGGGACAGAATCCGGCGCCCCGACCGGGACTAGAACCCGGTGTGCCGGCGCCGCAAGGCAGAGGATTAGCCTAGTGAGCTGCGGCGCCGGCCTGCTGAGTCCTATATATTCCATCACTTCATATCACAGAGCCTCAGTTCCTCTCCAGCATTCGTTTGAGCATTTACCACTCAGGGCTCACTCATCTGCTAAGTAGTTAGGCATACGATGGCTGCACCTGTACTGAATATCCAGACTTCCTAGCATTATTCTTTAAAAATACAGGTAACAACTATCTGTAGCATTTATATTGCACTGAGTCTTAAGAGGCTCTACAAATGAGGAGTGAATTCGAGAACTCTGCAGTCTACATGGTGCTGCCATGACTTGCATAGAAGGGACGAGAGCATCTGCGGATGTTGTCACTTATGCTGAGCCCCGAGGCAATGCTCTCCAGATACCAAGTGGTAGCTGTGGTGGGTTGTGTATTTCCATGCTGTCAATCTCAGTCTCTTATTTGGAGAATTGAACCCATTTCTATTTAACGTGATTACTCATAACCAATGACTTCCTTCTGCTAGTATGCTATTTGTCTTCTGTATGAAATATTTTTTCTGTTCCTCAATTCTTCCATTATTGCCCTCTTTTGTATTAAATATTTTCTAGTGTGCCATATATATATATAAAATGTGTATATATACATGAATATATTCTGTTTCTTAATGGTTGCCCTGGTAATTATAACACCTTAATTTATAATGAACTAGTTTGAATTAATGCCTACTTAGCTTCAAAAGTATATAAAGTTTTATTCCTGTATAGCTCCTTTATTCCCATTATTCTATTATTGTAAAAAATTGCAGCTATATATACTGCACACCCATCAACATAGATTTTAATTATTGCTCTAAGGAATTTTTAAAAAATCTTTATATATTTATTTTTATTTGATAGGTAGAGTCATAGACAGTGAGAGAGAGAGAGACAGAGAGAAAGGTCTTCCTTCTGTTGGTTCACCCCCTAAATGGCCGCTACAGCAGGTGTGCTGTGCCCATCCGAAGCCAGAAGCCAGGTGCTTCTTCCTGGTATCCCAAGAGGGTGCAGGGCCCAAGCACTTGGGCCATCCTCCACTGCTCTCCCGAGCCACAGCAGAGAGCTGGACTGGAAGAGGAGCAACCAGGACTAGAACACGGCGCCCATATGGGATGCCAGCGCTGCAGGCAGAGGATTAACCAAGTGAGCCACAGCACCAGCACCAGGAGTTTTTTTTAAGAAGATTTATTTACTTATTTGAAAGTCAGAGTTACACAGAAAGAGAGGCAGAGAGAGAGAGAGAGAGAGGTATTCCATCCACTGGTTCACTCCCCAGTTGGCCGCAAAGACCTGAGCTACACCAATCCGAAGCCAGGAGCCAGAAGCTTCTTCCAGGTCTCCCATGTGGGTGGCATAGGCCCGAGTACCTGACTCATCATCCACTGCTTTCCCGGGAGCACTAGCAGGGAGCTGGGTCGGAAGCAGAGCAGATGGCACTCAAACTGGCACTCCGATATGGGAAGCCAGCATCACAAGCCGCAGCTTAACCTACTGCGCCACAGTGTTCCTTCCCTGCCATCTGTAACTCCAGCCAGCACTGGGCACAGTGCGGGAATGGAAGAAAAGGCCCCGAGTACGTTCTAGAGAGAATCCACGAGACGAGGCCCAGTGACCAGGAGCTTGGGCTTGGGCCACTGGGAGGTTGTAGAATGAATTCAGCTGCTCTGCTGGGCAGGGGTGGGGTGGTGGGGGTGGTAGTGGAAGGTGTGGAAGACATTGGGCTATGTTTTTTCTCTAAGATACTCAAATGGAAAGACATTGGGCTATGTTTTTTCTCTAAGATACTCAAATGGAAGCTCTGAACAGGCAGTTATAAATGCGGCCCGGACAAGGGAAAACGAGGCAGCTTTACTTAGGAGTTGGACAGCACACAGAAGTCAGTGGAATGGCTGGCACCACTGAGAGACGTGGGGAAGAGCGGCCAGTTGGTTCCTGCTCACCACCCCGCCCTTGCTTCTAGTAATGACATCTCATCTCTGGGGGAGATACCCACTACCTTCCTGTCGACCAAAATGCCATCACTCTTCCATCCTAGGAGTTGGCTTGTGATCCAGTTCCTTTTCCTGAAATTTGTATACTGATCAAAAGTAGCATCAGGATTAAAAGAATTTGAGTCCACTTCATTCCTTTTTTTTTTTTTTTTTTGTACAGGCAGAGTTAGACAGTGAGAGAGAGAGAGAGACAGAGAGAAAGGTCTTCCTTCCGTTGGATCACCCACCAAAGCCGCTACGGCAGGCGCTGCACCGATCTGAAGCCAGGAGCCAGGTGCTTCTCCTGGTCTCCCATGGGGTGCAGGGCCCAAGCACTTGGGCCATCCTCCACTGCCTTCCCGGGCCACAGCAGAGAGCTGGCCTGGAAGAAGAGCAACCGGGACAGAACCGGCGCCTCAACCGGGACTAGAACCCGGTGTGCCGGCGCCGCAGGCGGAGGATTAGCCTAGTGAGCCGCGGTGCTGGCTGAGTCCACTTCATTCTATCATCATTTCCATGCATGCACAAGATGACCTATGTGTTGTCTTGCCAAAACTGATTAACGTGGCTCTAACCCTGAGGAAACAATGAGGAAGTAGTGGACATCTAGGCAAGGGTCTGCACAAAAGTCATAAATGACACAAACAAAAAAAGCAAAAAGGGAGGGAGAATTCTTTTGGATCAAAAGAGATCAATGATACAAAATCAAAGGCATGCATAGCTTTGGATCCTGGATTGAGTAATAAAAAGTCAGCTGACATCAGAATTACTAAACAAAGACTTCAATCAACTTTTACATATTCGCAAAGAGTTAAAGAAAATCATGGATAAAGAGTGAAAGGAGAGCCGGCGCCGTGGCTCACTAGGCTAATCCTCCACCTTGCGGCGCCGGCACACCGGGTTCTAGTCCTGGTTGGGGCGCCGGATTCTGTCCCGGTTGCCCCTCTTCCAGGCCAGCTCTCTGCTATGGCCAGGGAGTGCAGTGGAGGATGGCCCAGGTGCTTGGGCCCTGCACCCCATGGGAGACCAGGAAAAGCACCTGGCTCCTGGCTCCTGCCAGGATCAGCGCGGTGCGCCGGCTGCAGCGGCGGCCATTGGAGGGTGAACCAGCGGCAAAGGAAGACCTTTCTCTCTCTGTCTCTCTCTCACTGTCCACTCTGCCTGTCAAAAAAAAAAAAAAAAAGAGTGAAAGGAGATCATGAACACAATGTCTTATCAAATAGACAACACCAGCAAAAAGACAGAAATTATACAAGGAGCCAGACAGAAATTCTGTAGTCCGCTCAGTGACTAGGGGCAGGTGCTTGGTCCGCCAGCTAAGACACCAGTGAGGAAACCCGCATCCTGCATCGGGGTGCCTAGGTTCGCGGCTCAGCTGTGGCTCCTGACTGCAGCCTCCTTCGAACACAGACCCTGGGAGGCAGCAGGGGATGGCTCAGACGGCTTCAGCCCTGACACTGCAGCCATCTGGGGAGGGAATCAGTGGATGGAAGATCTCTTTGTCTCTGTCTCTGTCTCTGTCTCTCTAACTTAGCCTTTCAAATAAAGAAAAATATGCCAGTGCCGCAGCTCACCAAGCCACTTCTGTCTTGGTTGCTCCTCTTCCAGGCCAGCTCTCTGCTGTGGCCCCGGAAGGCAGTGGAGGATGGCCCAAGTGCTTGGGCCCTGCACCCGCATGGGAGACCAGGAGGAAGCACCTGGCTCCTGGCTTCGGATTGGCGCAGCGCCTGCTGTAGCGGCCTTTGGGGGGTGAACCAACGGAAGGAAGGAAGACCTTTCTCTGTCTCTCTCTGTGTCTAAATCTGCCTATCAAAAAAAAAAAAAAAAAAGAGAGTATTTTTCTCTCTCAGATGGTCAGTTGGGAGAATGATGACACAAGTTTGAGAAACACTAGTCTATGTGATTTCAATAGACTTTTTTTTTTCAATAGACTCTTAGCCACCACTACTATTACTGTAGCGGCAAATGCTTTTGGAATACTGACTACATCACATACGTATGTAAACATTTTACATGCACGTACCCATTGACTCCTTATAGTAACCATGTGAACAGATACTATTCTCATTTCCTCTCTGTACGTGGGGAAGCGGAGGCAGAGAGGGGTTGCTAAGAAACAGGGATGGCTTAAAGGCCATGAAGGCAATGCTGAAAGGCACCTACAGCCACAAAAAGATCTGTCCGTCTCCCACCTTCTGGCCGCCCAGACACCCTTGGAACAGGCCCCCAGGAGGGACAAACTTGGCCACTATGCTCCCTGTCCCCGGAGCCTGCCCTGAAGAAAACAATGCCCTTGTGTTCCCTGTGAATGTCAAGGCCAATGAGCCTGGATCAAACAGGCTGTGAAGGAATTGCACACTTAAGGGGCCAAGGTCAACACCCCGGCCAGGCCTGAGGAGGGGAGGGAAGCATACGTTCCGCCAGCTCCCGACTGAGAAGCGTTGGATGCTGCCAATAAAATGGGATGTATATACGAGCCCAGCTGGCTAATTCAACATGTATAGTTTTTTCCCACCAGTATCAAAAAATAAAAAGGGAAAGAAATAGAGCTGAAGTTTAATCTCAGAGTCCGATCTACTTACGGTGTTGCTATGCTGACCACAGCGCTGACGTCATGAGCGCCAGAAGCCTCTGTTAGAAGGAAGATGCACGAGCTGCACCTCGGACCTGCTGATCCAGATATTCCAGGAATGGTTGTTTTACACAGTTCCTCCGGCTTCTGACGTGCACACAGCCTGGCGACTCCACCTCACTGATCCCAAGCCTTCCCCTCCAAACTCCGGCTGTCAGGGGCATGTGCACATCTTCGTCAGTTCCTTGTGGGTTAAGGAAACGATGATTCAACAGCGCGGTGAGGAACCAGGACTCGGGGGCAGGTGTTGTGGTACAGCAGGTTAAGCTGTCATTTAGGATACCTGAGCCCTGTATCGGAGTGCTCTGCCTCTGATCTGGCTTCCTGGGAGGCACGAAACATACACTAAACTAAATAGGATGATGGCTCAAACATCTGGGTCCTTGCCACACCCAGATAGCGTTCCAGGCTCCTGGCTTTGGCCTGGCCCAGTGTAGGCTATATATAGCCTATAGGTGTCTGGAGAGTGAATCAACAAGTGGAAGCTCTCTCTCCCTTTCTCTGTGGCTCTGCCTTTTAGGTACATGAAAAATAAATAAACAAGCATAAATAAATAATTAGGACTTGGTCACTGCTGAATTTATGACTTGGTTCTATGCCTATCCAGCAGCATGTTGGCTTGTTGTTTGATTTAGTTATTTGTTTTATTTGAAAGGCAAAGTGATAGCGAGGGAGAGAAAGACTGTAGAAGACAGAGATCTCCCATCTACAGGTTCACTCCCCCGAAAGGCTACAATAGCCAGGCCTGGGCCAGGCTGAGGCTAGGAGCCCAAGACCTCATCCTGGTTTCCCACAGAGGCCCAAGCACTTGGGCCATCGTCCCCTTCTTTGGCAGGTGCATTAGCAAGGTGCTGAGTCAGAGCTGGAGCAGCCAGGACTCAAACCAGCACTCTGGAATGGAAAGCTGGCATTGCAAGCAGTGGCTTCACCCACTGCACCTCAATGGTAGCCCAGCTCTATGGTTTTAAAGGAGGCATCTAGGGGCTGGTGCTGTGGCATAGCAGGTAAAGCCGCCGCCTGTAGTGCTGGCATCCCATACGGGCACCAGTTCGAGTCCCGGCTGCTCCACTTCTGATCCAGCTCTCTGCTGTGGCCTGGGAAAGCAGTACAAGATGGCCCAAGTGCTTGGGCCCTTGCACCTGCGTGGGAGACCCGGAAGAGGCTCCTGGCTTTGGATCTGGCCATTGTGGCCAATTGGGGAGTGAACCAACAGATAGCAGACCTCTCTCTATCTCTCTTTCCTCTTTCTCTCTGTCTCTCTCTCTACCTCTCCTTCTCTTTGTGTGTAACTCTTTCAAATAAATAAATCTTTAAAAAATAAATGAATAAAGGCGGCATCTGTTCTCCCCAAGCCTCAGCTTCTTTACCTGGGAAGTCAGAAGCGGGGGTGGAGCAGTGTGAAGAGGGGTGGAGCAGCACCGGGGACGGTACCTGTGACGGTGACATCGTACAAACCCCTCACCGACCCATGGGCCAATGAGCAACTGATTTCCATCTCCCCATCTGTAGGGTGGGGCTGCTGGGCCGTGCAGGCCACAGGGAGCAGAAGGTCTTTCCAAAGCGGCCAGCAGGGAAGTCAGCTATTCCTTTTAATCTTTTTCTTTATTTTGATGCCTCAGATAAAAGGAGACACTTAGAACAGCTTGACTAGGTCCAGAGTTTGCAGCCTCAGGGCCTTATACTTTGCTATGCCCGATGCCTAGGACACTACCCCAACTCCCAGAGGCCAAAACCCCAGTAGTCTCTCCTCCAGTCTCAGCACCAATATCCCTGGTGTGGGTGGAGCCCTCTCTGATCCCCTCAGCTGAGACTCTTCTCCCTCCTGGGACAGTCACTTGTGGCTTTGTATGCAAAGTTGCTGGTCCCACCCTCCTCAAAGCAGCACCGTCTCTGCTACCCCGGCTTGGATTCAAGGGATACAATAACTGATTCCTTTGGAACCTCCTGTTTTTTGTCATAATGACTCAGGATACCTGCACCGATAGGGACCGGTCTCCTTGGGTGAGGAGCTGCTGGCTGCCACCTTCTCGTGCAGGGGGGACCTCATCACTGCCCAATGGGAAAGGCCCCCACGGAACTTGACCAAGGACAAAGGGTGCCGAGTCACCCCCATGTGGTTACACTGATGGGAACACAGTGGGCAGGTGCACAGGGTGGGCAGGAAGGAGCCTTCCACTGGGACAAGATGTTTTGATTCCTTTCTAGGGAGGCAGATAAAAGAGTTACCAGAACTCAGTCCCTCCCCACGCCTTATTTGCAAACTGAGAGGCTTTCTAGACATCTTCCTTGGGTAGGCTGTGGGAGCTCTTGTTCATTTCAGAGCTAACATGAACAATAGCTACTGTCCTTCCAGGGCCAGCCGAGTGCCCGGCCAGGCACGGTCCGAGTCTCCCGGGGAATGGCCAACACAGAGCAGCTGGAAGTGGCAGGTGTCCTCTGCATGGTTTTTTTTTTTTTTTTTTTTTTTTTTTTTTTTGACAGGCAGAGTGGACAGTGAGAGAGAGAGACAGAGAGAAAGGTCTTCCCCTTGCTGTTGGTTCACCCTCCAATGGCCGCCACGGCCGGCGCACTGCGCTGATCTGAAGGCAGGAGCCAGGTGCTTCTCCTGGTCTCCCATGGGGTGCAGGGCCCAAGTACCTGGGCCATCCTCCACTGCACTCCCTGGCCACAGCAGAGAGCTGGCCTGGAAGAGGGGCAACCGGGACAGAATCCGGTGCCCTGACTGGGACTAGAACCTGGTGTGCTGGTGCCGCAGGCGGAGGATTAGCCTAGTGAGCTACAGTGCTGGCCTCTGCATGGTCTTCAGGTCTCTGCTCTGCTGTCGCCTTCTCAGGGACGCCCACCTTGGCCACCCCACTGAGAGCTGCAGCTGGACCCCCACCCGCTCTTGTCTCTGTCCTTAGCATCTTCAGACATCTGTGTGACTTATTTACTCAAGATGGTTGCTTATGGCCCTGATATGCCCCGCCCACCACAAGGGGCGCATCCACAAGGGAGAGATCTTGTCCCATGCCCATTGGTGGGTTCCTGGGGCCTGCAACAGAGCCTGGCTCATGCTGACATCGAACAATCTATCAATCACAGGTGGCCTCCATGTCTGCGGGTTCCATAAGCCTGGATTCAATCCAGTGCCGACAGAAAACAATCAGGTGAAAAACTGTACTGGACACATGCAGACTTTTTTTCCTTTCATCACTACCTACACAATACAGCAGAGAGCTATCTACAGAGCATTTACATAATAGTTATTATAAGTAGCCTAGAGAGGATTCAGGTATACAGGAGAACAGGCATGGGTGTATGTCAATCCTGCAGTATTTTATTTATATTTTAAAGAGAGAGAGAGATGCCCGTAACAGCCACGGTCAGGCCAGGCTTAAGTTCAGGAGCTTGGAGCTCCACCCAGGATTCCCACATGGGTGCAGGGGCCCAAGCACTTGGGTCATCTTCTGCTGCCTTTCCAGGTGCATTAGCAGAGAGCTGGATTGGAAGTGGAGCGGCCGGGACTTGAACCACCGCTCTAGCATGGGCTCCGAAATTTCTTATATTTTGCCTGACTCCTCTCTGGCCTCTGTAAAGGGGGAGATGAGGCCAAAGAAACGGCCAAGAATTTGACACTTTTGCTCTCAATTCTCTAGGACTTTAATAACTTCACACAGAGAAATGGCAAAGGGTCAGGGGCCCCCTACATCCGAGACTTTGTCCCCCTCCGAGGTCATGTATCCTTATTCCAAGTCCTCAGGGAGGAGAGAGGGCTGGAGCCTCCTCTGGAAGCCTTCCCCTTTCTCCACTCTAGCTCTTCCCTCAGGGAATAGGACCCTCCACTTGCCCTGTCCCCCTTGCTGACCCTCCCCCACCTCTCCCTTCAGTGGCAGCCACAACAGCCCCTCCCTCTCTTCCTGACCCCTCCTCCTCCACTCTGCCACTCTCTCCCCCTGGGTGCAGCACAGTGATTGCCTTGGAAAGCCCTGCACCTGGGGACGCTCCAAACTGCTAACACAATGCTCCGTACACTGCAACAAGGAGCCTTTGTCACATCTCCCACCCACCTCATCGGGGTCCCTGTGGAACTGTGCACCTCCCCCAACAAGCAACGTAAGGAAGGACTCTGCTCAAGTGGAACCAAGCCTGACTTCAACCCCCTGCCCTCTGTCCAGGCAGGCTCAACCCCACTCTCTTTATCCTCCCATTCTGCCCCCTAAAATAGTCTTCTCTACTTTAGCTGCTTCCTCTCCTTCTTTGAACCCTAAAATCCTAAAACCTAACATACCACGTGGGTGCAGGGGCCCAAGCACTTGGGTCATCTCCCACTGCTTTCCCAGGCACATTAGCAAGGAGCTGAATTGGAAGTGAACTGGTGTCTTGAACTAGTGCCCATATGGGATGCTGGCACTGCAGGCAATGGCCCAATATGCCATGACGCCAGCCCCTTAAAAATTTATTTTATTTTTACTTTATTTGAAAGACAGAGACAGAGATAAAGAGACAGAGATCTTCCTTCTGTTGGTTCATCCTCAAATGCCTGCAAAAGGCAGGACTGGGCCAGGCCAAACCTAGAAGCGCCAGGACTCAATCTGGGTTTCCTGTGTGGGTGGCAGGAACCCAAGTTCCTGAGCCATCAGCTGCTGCCTCCCAGGGTGGCATTAGGGGAAGCTGGATCGGAGGCAGAGCCGCGACTCAGACCCAGGCACTCCGCTACGGGATGCAGGCTTCCCAAGCGTGTCCTAACTGCTGCACCAGTGCCCACCCCTGTTTAACCGGTCCTCTGACGGACGTTCAGACTGGCGCCAACCTTCGGCTAGTATAAACACGCTGCGGTGCACATCCCTGGGCAAACAGCTTCGCATAGCTGTGCACTTACATAGTAGGAAAGAGTCCTACATGAAGACAGAATTGCTAAGGCAAAGGCTTTGGGGCACTGTAAATTTTCAGTTGCTATTGCCAAGCCACTCTTCCCCCATGTCCACGGATACTCTCACCAGTGATACACAGAAGAGGGTTCACTAAGGATGAATGAAATTGGGTGTGGGGGGAGTCCCAACAACTCTCCTCTGCTGCTGGACTGTAGACACGCACAACAGTGGAATCTGAGTGTCGAAAAGGATGTGAGAACTCACTGCACTCTCTCCGACCCCCACCCCTGGCAGCAAAGCTTTGCCAAAATCCGTGTTTTGAATTCTTCCC